TCTCGTTGGTGCACGATAATAAAACAGTGGATTAAAAGCTTACTTTTCCCCAGCGGTGCTGCAGACTTCCAGACTCGGACAGTAAGTATGGCGGGTAAGGATTCTTCACAGTACAGAGTACTCTCGTTGGTGCACGATAATAAAGCAGTGGATTAAAAGCTTACTTTTCCCCCAGCGGTGCTGCAGACTTCCAGACTCGGACAGTAAGTATGGCGGGTAAGGATTCTTCACAGTACAGAGTACTCTCGTTGGTGCACGATAATAAAGCAGTGGATTAAAAGCTTACTTTTCCCCCAGCGGTGCTGCAGACTTCCAGACTCAGACAGTAAGTATGGCAGGTAAGGATTCTTCACAGTACAGGGTACTCTCGTGGGTGCACGGTAATGAAGCAGTGGATTAAACGATTACTTTATCAGCGTTGCTGTATACTTCTGGGCTCAAACAGTAAGTAGAACAGGTGAGGATATTCACAGTACACAGTACTCTCTCTTCAGTTCACAATAGGGAGACAGTGAATCATAAGGTTACTTTACCAGTGGTGCTGTATGCTTCTGGGCTCAAACAGCAAGTAGAACAGGTGTGGATCTTCACAGTACAAAGTACTCTCTCCTCAGTTCACAGTAGGGCGACAGTGGGTTAAACGATTACTTTATCAGCGTTGCTGTATACTTCTGGGCTCGAACAGTAAGTAGAACAGGTGAGGATAGTCACAGTACACAGTACTCTCTCTTCAGTTCACAATAGGGGGACAGTGAGTCATAAAGTTACTTTACCAGTGGTGCTGTATGCTTCTGGGCTCAAACAGCAAGTAGAACAGGTGTGGATCTTCACAGTACAAAGTACTCTCTCCTCAGTTCACAGTAGGGCAACAGTGGGTTAAACGATTACTTTATCAGCGTTGCTGTATACTTCTGGGCTCAAACAGTAAGTAGAACAGGTGAGGATAGTCACAGTACACAGTACTCTCTCTTCAGTTCACAATAGGGAGACAGTGAGTCATAAGGTTACTTTACCAGTGGTGCTGTATGCTTCTGGGCTCAAACAGCAAGTAGAACAGGTGGGGATCTTCACAGTACAAAGTACTCTCTCTTCAGTTCACAGTATCACTCTGGGCTTCTGACGGGGGCAGATATAATAACCTTCCACGAACGTGTAAGCATGGATGGGGGCCACTTCTCAACAAAGACACAGCACACTTGTGTTTACTTCAATTCCACAGCAATAAATCAATGTGTATCAATAAGGCAAAAGCACTGCAATTCACTCACACGATAGGGTTGGACAGAGGCCCCACTCCGGCCGTTGCGCTCGTTTACAGGGTTTTCACTTTTAATTCCTCCTCATCACACTCTGAAACACATAGCTCCTCTAACAGTCAGATCCACATTCACTGTATCCTCTTCAAGTGGTTCAAATGTTCATAAGATGAAAACAATTCACTTATCTTTCCTCTCTCCTTCCACAGCACAGATCCAGCCCTAGCTCGGCCCAGCAGTCTTCCCACAAACGATCAATCTGACCCAGCAAACTCGAATGGGCGATCTCCACACTCCAACGATTTTTCCAAGGAAGCCTGTATCCAGCACTGCCCAGAGTCAACCCTTTGGAATCTTGACACACTGTACACCCACCAACCGCGCTGCAAACACTCTCTAAATGCTCCTTTTATATTGTGGCTTATGAAACAGGAAGCCTGTGTGAGCGCCGCTCCTCTCTCTCTCACACCTGCAATGCATTAGCGCTAATCAGTACGGGCATGTTTCCATCACACCCGGAACCGTAGTGGAGTGTTGCACCCAATACGTTCCCCTAGGAAACTCAGGACTCTCAAGAAGGTTCCGTTACTGAGCGATTTTGTCACCCGTGACATTCTTCCTGACATGTTTTGGAACAATGCTAATACATTGCCTTTTTTCACTCTGTTTTGTTGTTTTATATTCTTGGCTCCTTCTCAGCTAAAGAAAATCAATCAATGCCATCCAGTTACTGTGACCAGTTTTGTATTAAAAACTAGGTTTACACTTTGAGAAGAAAATCTGAGCTGTGTCTGCCGTTGCGAACTCACCACAATGATATAAGTCATTACTATTCAAGATGTTCTGAGTCTTTTTTCGTGGTGGCTGTGGTGGGACCTGAATAGTTGCTATTTGGTCCAAGCAAAAAGACCCCACCTCTAAGTCTCTATGATATTCTGTTCTGTAGATTTGAAGAACCTGTGCAATTGTTCATTGGTGCTATAAAGGAGACCCGGACCAAACAAAGTCAGCTTCTGATTGGCTGAAGTTGCTCACAGGCATACAGGAAGTATCAAAGTTCCCTTCTCAGGGAACAATACCTGAGATGTTCCCTTTCGAGGCAACTCGTGATGTGTCTGAAGTAGCGACGCTTTGGGAATGATAATTCCCACTACACTATACTGACAAGTACCTGTGCTTGTGTGAATCATGTTGAGCAAAGCTTAGGAAATAAGTATCCGGGACCCTTGAACTTCCCTTGGCCCTGCTACACGAATGGAGGAGGATAAAATGCCTGCAAGACTACTGAGCGACTGAACTCCCGCATGTGTAGCAGGTCTTAACTTCCACGCCACTCAGGAAACAGGATACTAGAGTGTCCTCATTAGATATCCATTGACCCAGGTGCATAGTACTGTAAATATCTCTGGCCACCATGAAAACCTAGCAGAAAAGCGATCCTGAAGGAACTCTAGCACTGAACCAACCAGTCAAACAACTGGGTTAAGCTGTCAATTTCTGCATCATGAAGTAAAGACTCTTATAGCATAGTTTATAGGCATATAGTTCCCTTGTGGAGGAAGCTCCAGAGTTAGAATGGTCTCAACAACCTCGGTTAAGAGACCAGAGTTCATGAGTTGGACCCCAGGGGCCAAACCCACAAATCTGGTTGATGGTCACTCACTCTTGATGGGAATCTCCTATGGAGAGCCATCGAGGAGAGACATAGGTCTGAGAACCACACTAGAACTCCCTGTGTAGATCGACTGGGGAGAAAGCCTGAGAAACGTCTGCACCCATGGCATCCATCCCCAGTTGACCTGGATGAGTGAGGGAGAACCAGAGCAGCCAGTGTGTTTCCTGAGACGTAAATAGGTCCACTTCTGCCTGGCCAAACTCCCTTTGTATATATTCTCCACCAGGAGTGGAGCCTCCATTCCCTGGGCCTCAGCCCCTGCCTCGACCGGATGTCTGCTCCCTGGATTTGGTTCCCAGGGATGTAAGCTGCTCTGAGGATTTGGTATGCCAGGTTGTAAAGTGGGCACGACCACAGCACAGACCTGATATTTGTATGCTCAGCCACCGAAAGCAAACCTCAGGGACTTCCTGTATTATGGAATACATGGAAGTTTCCGTCCTAAAGATCTATAATAAAAAAAACAGTCCTTGGATATGATTTGAGTCATGATTTGTTTCAGCGTTAGCATTTTTAACTTAAGCGTTTGAACCATAGAATCTAATTTACATATCTAAGATTGGACGCAAACCCCCGGCTGTAGAACTAGGATTATTTCTCGGGAAGTGGAACCTGTTTTATGGCCTACTTCCCAAGAGAGTTACTACTTGTTCCATTACCAGAGCATGCTCAGGCCTACCACTGTGGGAAGGAACCCTTTGGATAGTGGCGGACGAGAAACTTAGCCTCTATAGCCTCTCTCTAGAGTTTGCAGGACCCACTGAAACACATTTGGAAGAAGTTTCCATGATGATAAGAGAACCAGTCTCTCGATGCTGTCGACGCACAAATGGTGGTAAGTTTAATGCTTAGCGTTAGAACCAAGAAGTTTGTTGAAATCATTAACCTTGTGTATGAGTAATAGTAATAGTGATGTCTTAAAAATAAACAAGGCCCGTGCAAAAACAATAGATTTATTATTAATAATCTAGATTTAAATAATGTGATACATTTTAGTCAGTGTTCTAACAAAAATCCAACAGTGTGAAATGGGTGCCATGACATTATATCTGGGTAATGATTACAATACCGCATAGACACCTAATGTTTTTTCCATAGGAAACACGGTAAGTTCATCTTTATGAGTTCATTGGAAAATGTTGCTGAGTGTGAGGAAGATCTTTGTGGTTGGTGAGACTGAAAAGGCTTTCATTAGCTGCAGACTATGAATTTCTCTCTGTTTGTGCGTGGTGACCTGCTGGCCTTCATTAACATGCCTCAGTAAACAGCCTAATGAGCAAACAGAGATGAGATGGAGGAGAGAAAGTGTGAGAGGACGAAGCTGGCCATAAAAATAAGGTGTGTGAGAGATAGCAGTAAAAAGCATCATCACATAATATATATTTAAAAAGGTAGTGTATACTTTTTCTGTGTCTTGAGCTCATTACAAACATAAAGGTATGCATCTAGAGATCTGATTAATAGATTGTGTGTATTTTTTTTTTTCAATATGAAATACATGTGAACCAATAAATGCCATAATGGTTTTATTAATTAATTTACTTTCTTATATTATACAGGGGTTAAATAGATTAGAATTTTATGGATTCTGTAAAAGTATTCTTTTTTTTTTTTTTTTTTTTTTGCACGTATATCAGTATGTGCATTTTATTCCAATGTGTATTTAATCCCAAGAATTCTTTTTATTTAAATACTTAATTTTGGATATATTTTTAAAGTAAACAAATGTCTGATCAGAATGTAAACTTCCATCTTAATCATTGACAGAGCAGGATTACAGGTTTATTTGTGAGTGCATGTAATCAAATTGTATTTGTTTTTGAGGTTGTATTTGTATTTTTTTTAATTGTCCTTTCATATTAGTTTCTTTGCAGATCTTCTAAAAAAATGTTGTTGTTCTGCTTTATGTGAACTGTTAAGTATATGGACAAAGATATCTCAAAATAATTATGCTCTCAATCCACAGCTTATCTAAAGCATGACATTTATAAAACGTGTGTACGCACAGATTTTGTTATAGTGTGCATACACTTAAATCCATGACAATGACAAGATAAAAAAAAGTATTTAATATGGAAAAGTGATTAGCTAGTCAGGTTCTAAGCAGGCGTATGCTGTTTTCACATCTGGAAGAGAGCTGTATGGGAGTATGTTTGTTTTTTGTTTGTATGTTAATTTCTTTGTGCAGATGTTCGTACCTGAATCACATGTACACACATTTGAAAAATGATCTCAAATTATATATAGCGTGGTTTTAACACATAACATTTTGACAAGTATATAAGTCCTGTATTTTTGATTGGCTGTGTCACAAAAGATGGAGTTTAATAAAATATGTGTAAACATATTTGTAAAAAAAAATACTGTAAAGGCGCTATAAAACTTCCTCCATGGTGTAAAAAACCAAAAAGACTACATATCAAAACTAACCAAAAAATCTCTTTCCAAACATCTGGAACTTTCATATGTCAGATGGTGGTATTTTTTCTTTTCACCTCTCGTTCTACACCTGCTTTCCATTCCCATTCTTTTGTTTCTCACAATCAGTTTTCTTGCTAATTTAAGCACTATTAGTCATCTTTCGGCAGACATTCAATTGTTTTCATTATCAAGTTCCTGAAAAACGTTTGCATTAGGCATATGACAGATATGTCTCGGACACTATTTGCTCTAATGATATGACTCTTTCTTTGTCACACTTAAGTAGTTCAGTGTAAAGATGTCCTGTACTGCCATCTGAGGTTTCATCAAACTGCTGCCCTCTTTAAGTTGACGCTGTGCCCAATAGAAGGTTTCCTGTTACCTGGAATCAACAATGCGTGGAAACATTGATCCTGAAAATATGGGTAAGCAAAAACAGCTAAATATATTTGCATTTATGAAGCAACTAGTATACTAATAGAAGATCAAAAACAACCACATGTGACATGTTTTAGATTTTTCTGGAACAGGTTCTCGAAAGTATAATATTACAGGTTTCAGTCCATATGGAGTAATTTAGAAATTCTGGAATCACCAAAAAAGCTTTTTTAATAAAATAATAAAAATAACATTGTTCTTTGGCAAAACTGTTATGACTTTAATTTTGTTTTATCAAAGATCACACACTATGCACTATCAAAATGCACTAGTCCAAAGCAGACATGGCATTAATGTTGCCAAATGTTTGTTCACTTCACTGTTTGTGATCTGTAGTTTGAGCACATAAAAAAACACTTATACATGGTATGCAAGGCAGCATGGCATCAGCATTTGAATAATAGAAGACATATGCCACTTACAGTTAATAACGCTATACTATAACTTAGGACAAATTTGTGTCTGTTTGGTATTTTTCTTATATATATAAATTACAATGAGAGGCCATTATGGTCACCAGTATTCATTCATAGTACTAAATATATAAATATTCATGATCTGAAAGATGTAAAAGGATTTAGTTATTTGATTTCTTATTATAAAATATTAAATCAAAAAATATGTCAATAATAAATCTATATCTTTCATATAGATATTATTTGAATCCCAATCGGTTTAAAAAGAAAAACACAAAAGTGTGCACTGTACAACATTCTGCACTACGATTAAGTGCAGTAAAATCATCCCATCAGCTCACAAATACACATAAAAAACACATTCTTGCTAACTTTTTAACAAACATACTCTGTAACAAACACACGGAAATACTGTTTGCGCAAATTTAAATCGATACCAAATCAAACAAAAGCTCTTGTGAAAAATTGGTCACTGCTCAACCAGCCAAAGCACTTAAAAAGTACTTTTTAAAGTTCTTTGTTCCATACAAGAAAAGAAAGAAATATGTTCATATTTCAATTTCTATTTCTGTAACTGAACTGTTCATTCCTCCTCACATAATTCCAATAAACATAGAATCTGAATACCAGAGGAGTATTAAGAGCACCTTTTCAGCTATTTCAGCTATTAGAAATGAACCAAAGTCCATCTGCATTGCTTCTACTTTGTGTGACTGCACCTTATGAAAGCACCATTTTTTTTTAAAATCAGTTAATTCCAAAACCATTGATCTACCTATTTGGGATCATGATGCCAACCAAAGAATGGAGATGTTGGTGCTTCCATCATGGGTGATCTGGTTGATTCGCCCACGAACGCAGTCCAAAGAAACATAGATGGCAGTACCATTCTGTACATCGAATGAAGTTCTCAGCCCCACGCTGGCCCACTCACTACCTTCAGGCATATGTCCACCCACCTGCTGGGCCAATGACGAGGCCTGGCTTCCATCCTTACCTTGCCGGTAAAGGGTCAGCTTCACCACATTGCAGGAGTGGATCAGCTTTAGGTTGAGGGCCACACTGACCGTGCCAGCTTCAGAAAACACAAAGTTCCTCTGGGCATGTGCCTCACCTGAACCAGCTAGCCGCATTTGATCTGTATTCGGGCTCATCTGCCTGAAAAGCAGGGGTTTATTTCGTACTGCCCCAGAGGGAAAACCTGTTCTTGAGACAGTGGCTGTGAATGTAGAGGAGACAGTGGTGGGGATCCAAATCAAGCTTAGCATACTAATCCCAGAATTATCGCCAAAGTAGCGGACATTGCACTGAGATGGGGCAACAATCTCAAAATTAAGCCAGTCTTCTCTGTCTACCCTTGTGGCTCCGGAAAGGGTGATGGAAGTGTCCCTGTAGTTAACACCAGACTTAAAGGAGCGTAGCACCTCCTGGTTAGTGCCATTTCGGTTGACGTAGGCAATCAGTGAGAAACCTTCTCGAACACAAGCATGGCCCATGGAGTAGATGGCCTGCTGGAGCACAAACTTTACCACGCCACTCTCCATGAAACGCACCCCGCGGCTATCATGGGTCAGTGCCACTATGTAGGGATCAGAAACAGTGGCTATACGGAAGGTTGGGCGATGGTTACTCTGGTAGTGGGCTGCTGTTGACATTTGAGCAGTCATGGCCACGGCACCGGTGTCATGGGATAACCACAGCAAGCTGAACGAAGCCCCTCCAAGCTCATAGACTTGAATATCTTTACTCTGGTTGCAGTATTGGTTGGGACTCTTCAGCAGGAGTGTCAGTATATGACTGGGTTCCACTTCAACTGCAGTACTTACAGTCACACCTTGAAAGAACTTTCTCTCCGGTTGCTCAATTCGAACCCCGCTAAGGTCTCGAGCCTCCTCTTCGCTGCCGTTTATCCGTATCCCGACCTGGAGAAAGTTCCTGCAGCTGTGCTTTAGTGCAAAGTTGTAGTCTATCCAGACCAGTCCATGTTGTTGGAGATTGAGGTTATCATCATGGTTGGTCAATAGGTCGTTTCCTTCTTTGCCACGAATATTAAGCTGTAGCCCTGGAAAGATGGAAGTACTCTTCGATTTTGTTGGTGGTATGGCAATCGAAGCAGCCCAAGATTGTGAGAGCATGTTCTCAGACACAGATCCACATACAGCATCACTGGTGGAAGTGCAGGGAATGCCAACAGGCTCACCATCACAGTCTGAACAAGCCTGGCACTCCTGAAGTTCCTTATTGTAGAAGTACTCATGGCCACACAACCCCGCGGAAATCTCCCTCTCAGAGACACCAAGACAACGAAACCCTCCTGATGAACACAACAACAAAAAATAAGCTTGGTGAATCCCAGGAGAGACCATTTCAAGGCAGACATTGGAATTGCATCATGTTTTCAATTTGCTTACCTGGGGTATTAAGACATTTTACTTGCTCCCCACACAAGCTCGGTAATTCAAGGCATTCATCCCTGTCCTGTTGATAGATATTTGTTACTCAAAGACATGTTAAAGATTAATACATACACCTTTGCTTGCTCTTTACTGAAATCTTATGTATTGCATGCATAATGCAATTTCTGCCACAGTGTCACCTGGCACATCCTATCAGCAGTGGGCGAGCACTGTGACACCAGGAAGAATCCAGGGGGACACATAGTGCACCTTTCACACTGCGGTGGATCCTTTTGGAAGTCACAGTATTCCTCAGGTCCACAAGCAATTCGACAGCCCAACAATGGTATTCCTGTGTCCCCAGCTACATTCATCACTTTGGTGTCCACATCTACCTTATGCACAGCATAGGACTTTTGCAGGTGGCTACGTGCTTGGTTCTGAAGATCGGCCAGGTGACTTTCGAAATGGCTTTGCAGTTCTCCTTGCAGACCTTGGTAAGAGACTTGCTTGACCGTCTCAGAAAGCAGACCGTACTGAGCCTTCACCACATCCATCTGCTCGAACATGCGGCGCTGCTGGCTGAGTATCTCACGCTGCTGGGAGAGGAGGGCTCCCTGCTGTTCCACCAGCCTCTGCTGTAGATCACGAATCACCACTTGCTGAGCTCTCAAAGCCTCCACCAGCTTCTCTTGTCCCTTTGCCAGCTGTAGGTGTAGGATAAGTGCGTCCTCGGCAGGGACCTCATTCTCTCCTTGTGAAAGAACGAAACAGACAAGACTAAGTGGCATTAACTCAAAAAGCGTATGATACGCTTTAAAGGTGCACTATGCAGGATTTTCCAGTAGCACATCATTGCAATACACGAGATCCAGGGGGCGGAGTTGGATCCAGATCTAAGGGGTAGGATTAGGGGTGGGTTCATGGATCGGAGATTGGTAGGATTAGGTGTGGGTTTAGGGATCAGGGCGTGGAGGTGAGTAGGATTAGGTAAATGTAAGGTGGGAGGAGTTGGATCTGGATCCAACTCTTCCCCCTGGATTTCGTGTTCTGCATTGAGGACCATCTTGGATTTTCGGAAAAACATCAAAATAAAAGTATAGACTCAAAAACAATCTCAATCATTACATATCTACAGAAATACTGTGCAGGAAGTTTCTGTGCTGCAACCTTTGGCTTAACCAATAACGGCGTGCGGCGCAGTTGAGGGTGGGGACTTTATTGTGTCTGTCTGAGGCTGTGTTTACACGGAAACGATTCTGAAGAGAAAACGCAAAAGTGGTGTTGCGTCATCACTTTTTATTCTGTGTTTAGACAAGCGTTTTGTGTGGGAAATTCACATGCAAATGGTGACGCAAAAGTGTATGAAATTCAATGTAGTATGCACTTCTGGCGGCTGTGAGTGCATACTACAACACCAAGCCCGCATGCCTGCGTACAACCTTCACTGTCAAGCAGACTTTTGCGTTTTTACCGTTTACACGGGAACGCGGCGGTGGAGCGTTTTTAAGATTTCCACTCTGGAGGGTGGTTTCACTTTTTTGCGTTTTTAAGCCTCAAAAACGCTGTCGCCGTGTAAACGAAAGGCACATCCGATAAAATATTTTTACGTTTTCACACGTGAGTAAACAGGGCCTGAAGCTCGGGAAGCTTCGCTAAGTTCTTCAGTTTCAACACAAAACAATTCGCTTTGCAGCGGTTGGACTGCATGCCTGATGTAGGGCGTCGTTTACTATTAGAAATAAAAATCCTGCAAAGTACACCTTTAAGCATGACATGTACATTTCCATTAATAGTTACTCTTGTCCATTCAACCTTATATTTCGATATAAAAAGGATTATTTGTTAGTAATTAGACATGCAGTTCATGCTCTCGCTTGGATGCAATTTTGTGTGAAGTGAGAAAAAGGATATCTAAACAAGGAATTAGTAAATTAGTATCATTAGTAGAGTGAACAGCTTTTTGATATGTGAATGTCCAAGTGATTTCATTGCATAATTTTTACAACCACGCACTATATTATTTTCTGTGCTAGAACTATTTCAGTCATATGGAAATGGATTAAAGTTGTCTGCAATTTCTTGACAGTTGACTGCCAGCAGTTCTGCAGCTCTACAATACGCTGTGTAGCCAAGCAGATGTGTGTGTTTGCAATAATAGTTATTGGGCCAGCTGTCAAATTCCCCTATTCATTGATGTATGAAAATACCAGCAGTAATGTATTATTTATTACAGAGCCTGATAGTTTGTGTACACTCACCCTGCAGGATGCCTCTCATATTGTTCAAGGACAACAGAGAGAATTCCTCTGTGATGTCTCTAAATTTACTCAATTGTAAAACCTAATGCTAAAAATAATAAATTGGTTTGAGCAGAGCCAACTTAAATTAAACAAATTAGTTCAATCAGATTTACTTTTATGAGTATTTAGAACTTAATTTTTCTTTTGAGTTAACAAAACTGACAGATTTTAAGTAATCTGATTTTTTTTCCCATTATTTTGAGTTTTATGAACTTGTTTCTTTTAATTCAGACAATCTTAAATTTAACTGAAACTGACTTGGATTTTTTACTTCCCAGCATGCTTTTCCATGACACTTAAAAGGGAGAGTGAATGCTAAAATTTTCAAATACTAAAATGTTTTTTTTGTGTGTGTGTGTATGCTATGCTACTGTATGCTATCAAAGCATTGTGTTACCAATTAGCAAGATAGCATTTATTGAATTAGCTAGTTAAAGCTAGCCACGTTTCCACTATTAAAAATATTTCGGTTGAGATTAAAATTAAGTTAAAGCTTACTCAATATTTCAAGTTAAGAGCAGTTAAAATGTATGAGTACAAAATAATAATCAGCAAGTTCTTAAACTTAAAAAATGGCACTTATTCAAGTTTACTGCATGTGCACAAGCATTAAAGAGATTTCTTCTGTGTTTTGTATTAGACTTCTAGACAACATTATTTTTATTACATCAATAATAATTCTCAGTGTGGGGAATGGTTCAGTGATTCATTAAGGTAATCCCTAATGGCTTGAGGGGCTTTGTAAGATTGTGATATAATTATCAAATAAATTAAACTATTAAAAATTAATAATAAAAAAAAAAGAATTAAAATTATAATATGTAAAACTAAAATAATCAGATGAATAAAAAAGTTGGAAGCACCTGATTTATATCATATTAATTGATTTAACTAGTTAGTAGCTTACTGATTAAGTGTTACTTGCTTTCATTCAAGAAGTGACAGAACAGCTGGAACAACTGTTTCAATTCACCTGGTTTGATGTCGCACGTGAGTTGAACTCCCAGAGGAGCCCCGACCTCTGATGCGGGATATCCAATGTCCGGAAATTCCCCCAGAAACTGAGCGGCTCTGTCTGCCACATGGATGAGGGTTGGTTGACTGGGCTCGGGTAAACATCCGTCTCCAGCACAGGGTCTCGACCGGGGCTTCTGTCGTATCCTCAGAGGCAGACGGCACTCGATTCCTTTACATTCCCCGGTGTCGTTCGCAACATGATCTGGTCCTTGAGGCGTAACGCAGTCTGCGCACACAGGATCAAACACTTCAGCGACGCGCGTCTGGACGGTTTCCCTTGTCTGGTCTCCAGATCGCCCGCGCTGGGACAGAAACGTGGCGTGATTTTCAGATGAAAGGCTGAAGGGAGCATGATGTTGATTAATTGACCTGCTCTGTGTTGTCGGACTGTGTTGTCGCGGTGGTCTGGGCGATCTGCCTCCCGGACAGTGTGATCCGGAGCAGGGTCTGGCGTGTCCAGAGTCCCCCGAACGCGCGGAGCGGAACGTGCATAATACATAAACCAGCAGCAATAGTGTTTTTTTGGATGACGACATTTTTAATTAATTTATCTACTAAAATAAATAAAAAAACAACAGTTATGACTCAAGCGGGAAACCTCGTTTGAAAGAGTTCATTGAACTAAAATAAATTAGGCTACGTCAACAACTGTTTTGAAACATAAAAATATGTTTGGATTTCGTTTAAATCCGCAGATAAACTAAAAACAGTGGAATTGTATTACCTGCAGCTGCCTTCTGTTGGAATCAGTTAAAATATAAACAGCAGGAGGTGAGCATCTCTCCTTTAGTGCAGTGTGTGTGTGAGCCACTCTAAACACTTCTGAAGGAGAATGTTTTAGGCTGTGTCTCAAAAACCAGTGAGCTCCCTATGTAGGCAACATTTCTTTGGGAATCATATAGGCTTACATGTAGGCATTATAGATGTGTGCAGTCTTTCTAAGAATCATAATTTTACGCTGCATCGCGTTATTGTGTATGATGCGTTGTTGGCCATCACAAGCAGATGCACAACAGTTTATAATCATTTACATTTATATAATCAATCATTTTTATGTGCACATGCAATATTTTTTAGCATCAAATGTGCATTTACATAATTCTTGAGCAATGTAAGCAGCAGTTTTGGGCATAATCGTCCTATGCTGCATTTCTTAAACAATTAGGAATGCATGATGCCCACAAAGGCAGTCTTTTGAGGCAGTCTATGTCATTCTCCTCCAGAAGTGTTTAGAAAAATCACACACATATAATGCCCAAAACAAATGTATGTGTGCCAATTGTGCCAAGTAGGCCCCAAATTGCTGCATGCATAATGCCCAAATAATCCTATATGCACGTATGATGTCCACAAATGCTCCACATGTGCCTATAATGGCCAATAATGCCAAAAACTGCTGTATCCGCAAATCATGGCTAGAAATGCTGTCTAGTTAGGGGGCTTGATATGTTTCGACACACAGCCTGTATGTGGCATTCCAAAGACTCAATTAGCATCAGGTTTCCCCAGCCTGAGTTTAACCCCTCACTCTCCCTATCTTGCATCTGTTTTTCCTCCTTTGATGTTTATTTTCCCTTTTATTTAACAGTGCTATGTTGTACAATATTCGACTTGACACTTTTAACACCAAAACACTGGGCTACAAAAATACTGAAAAAGTCAGTCTAGACAACAAAAAAGGTCTGGTATTCCCTTGTGAAAAAGAAGTACACTTTAGAGTACTTTTAAAAAGGGCATTTCATACGAAAATAAAATAATATTAGTTCAAGAAGTGCAAACTGTTTGCAATGTTTTTGGACACTTTATTGCATGTACATGAAAATGTTTTATACATTTTATACAAGGACATGAGTCCTTTTTGGGTCACCTAGTACTAAGTACATCTTCATAAGTAAAATCAATGAATCCTGTTGTCTCTAAAATGTGGTTAGTCTGAAGAAGGTACAACAAGCATTTATGGTAGTAAAAAAAAAACATTTCTATTGAAATGTGTATGTCATATATGTATTATTACAAAGTGCCCTTTTTAACAGGCATGAAAGTGTACTTTCTTAAACTTAAGTGCTATTTTGCAGTATGTCATTATTATTATTATATTACCTGCAAGTAGGCTGTAATTAAGTAGTAATTATTAGTAGGCCGTAATTAAGTAGTTATTAAAATATATACTTTTAAGATTCAAAATACACTGCGACATTTAAAGGTTTGCAAAGCTCTTCCTATGTTTAAGCTAAATATCCTCCAATATAAGGATATGATGCGGACAGGAACTCAGTGGCGGCAGTGCAAGGATTTAATAGAGGTGTCTTCATGAGTAATGGAAAATTGTGCTACGCCCTATGTCACCTTTGTTTGTGGTCATGTCGGTTTTTAAAGATACACAGGCTTTTGATTGTTTAAACAGCTGTTGTCTGTCATTCAGAATCTGTCACGCAGAAGAAAAAGTCTGAAAGGGTCAGAGTTGATTTGCTAGAGTTCAGCCGGCCATGCTATACACACATTTGGAGAGGAGAGATGGGAATCCAGAGCTCTTGGTGCCTGATAATTGAAGAGCTTTCATTTGCATTATCATGCCTTTTTCATGGATCTTCTATAGGGCAATGCTTAATTAAAATAAATATTCAAAACCAAATGAAGCAAATTCTCTTATTGCTGGCGATCATGTTGTACTTTATATAACCAGTTTGCAATCAATCAACAAATAAGACTAATAATGTAAAAATCAACTTCACTTTTTACTTCAAGACATCCAAGATGGTTGTTTAAAAGACAATGCCTAAAAGTGCATTGCAAAAGGGTTTACTATCATTATTTTACTCATTTACGAATGTTTAACCATACCCTGTTAGCTGCTTTGATATTCTGATTTTATCTCTGATGATTTCAGCAGAGGGTGCTATTTGTATCCTTGGATACATTTGCACAGTATCTGGATTTAAAATGTAAAGTTTGAGATGCTAAGACACTTCAAAAGGCAACAGTGATGGTTAAATCTTTTTGGCTGCTATATGAATGACCAGAGTGTTTGACTGTGTTAGACCTATACATTAAACCAGAATAATGAGTTAACTGTGGCCAATAATGTTTTTTTAAAGAGCGTATCCCCTCACACCTCACCATATGGGCTGGAGTCAATTGAGACCTACTTTCTTTATAAAGAGTTAAAGTGTGTCTGTTCATTTTCAGACCAGGTTGTGACCCTATTATGAGCTAAGCCTTCACTTTATGCCAAATGTGTCCACCTCTCCAGCTGTTTATAGTGGTCTGTTTCCAATCACCGCTTATAAATGTAACAGAGGGGATATGATCAGTTATATGAGAATGTATGTGCCTTTGTGATTGGAGTCACACAATCAATAAGAGCAGAAATCCAATGGCTGACAGATTCCCACATCCTTAACTATGAGCAGAATTGGGTATAAATACAGTAAAAGCTCATGCTGAATTGGACTGAATCACCAAACTTAACACAGTGTTCACTTATTAAGTCAACATAAAATCAACGGTAACACTTTACAATAAAGTTTCGTTTGGGAACATTTATTAACTACAGTACATTAGTTAACATTAAAATGGCATTTAAAAATTCTTCCACTGCATTTATTAATTTTAGCTAATGTTAATCTCAACATTTACTAATCAAAATTTGTATCTGTTAGCATATAAATGCACTGTAAACTAACATGAATATGAACATTTTTGTTACAAAGTTTAATAAATACTGTAAGGAGATAGCTCATTGTTCATGTTTGTTAATGCATTAAATAATGTTAACAAATGAGACCTTGTCTAGTAAAGTCCTTCCAAATCAAAATCACCCTTATTTACTTTCTTAATACTTTACCCGTTTGTGTTCTTTGTATGGACTATCGTCAGAACACATTATTTATTTATTTGAAATTTTGAGTTGACTTTAAAATTGGGTCAACAAAATGTGTTTGACATTTAACTGCATGTCAGTAACTTATACGGTAAAATCAAAAGAATATGGCACTGTTTTGGTTTTGGTCTGTCACTGTAACTCTACAATGGTCTAATACTCGATTCTGATTGTCTGGAAGGTGTGCAATAAAACCATTCAAAGCAAGTCAGTTTAATTACAGTTCTACAGTTGTACTTAAATTAATGCGATTTCTGGATGAAATGATTTTTTAAATTTCCAGCACTGGAATGCATGCACTGGAATGCAATGCTCTTGCGATGGTGGCAACTCTCAGACAGGTTGTAGCCTAAATGTGAGCAATGCGGATTGAATTAATTGGCAGACATGGCGTGCTGCAAATTCAAACAAAAGAGCCAGTAAAAAGTGACATATAGCAGCACTTTACTAAATGGCAGGCAACATCATGCACATCAAAAATAGACAAAGCAACAAATTAATATTATTCAACATGCCCTGGCTTTTTACAGAAAATTTTCAGATCTGAATCTCTTTGTAATCATTAATATTTCCATAAGTCACTGTAATTTAATTAGACTTTTTTGAAAATTACATAGTTAGCCTTCAACTGTCACGATTTCTGTCTTGTGTTTTCCTTGTCTTGTGTGGACTTTAGTTATTTCCTGTTCTGTGCCATGTTTTGTAATCCTTTGTAGTTTTTCTTGTTCATGAGTCTCCCCAGGTCATTCTATTAGCCCCTCCCCCTTGTTATCTTGTTTAGCTTGTTTGTCTGTGTATTTAAATCTCTATGCTTTAGTTATTGGTTGTCGGTCGTTGTTGCTTGTAGCTGTCTCCATGTTCCTGTCTTGAGTTCCATGTTCCTTTGTTTGCCCTGATGTTTACTGATGTTTATTAAAATAGTGCTTGCATTTGGATTGTCTCTCCGCTTCATCCTTGCCTCATCATTACAGAACGACCGATCAAAGAGGAATCCAGCAGCATTAGGAGGGAATCTCAGCCATAGCCGCCTAGCTTTATTCCCAGAAGGGTTGTCGCCATGAATGTCATGCCAGAGCTTCACGCCATGCCAGAGCTTCTTCACGTCCAGCCAGGTCTTCACGTCACACAAGATCTTCTCAACATGCCTGAGCTTTTTCAAGTCATGGCAGAGCTTCAGGTCATGACAAAGCTCCACGTCAGCCCTGCGGAGCCTGAGCTCCACGTCATCTGCCAATCCAGAGACTGTTCACATCACTTCTGCCGGTCCAGAGTCTGTTCACGTCACTTCTGCCGATCCAGAGACTGTTCACGTCACTTCTGCCAGTCCAGAGTCTGTTCACGTCACTTCTGCCGATCGAGAGACTGTTCACTGTTCACGTCACACAAGATCTTCTCAACATGCCTGAGCTTTTTTAAGTCATGGCAGAGCTTCGGGTCATGACAAAGCTCCACGTCAGCCCTGCGGAGCCTGAGCTCCACGTCAGCCCTGCCGAGACTGAGCTCCAAGTCAGCACTGCCGAGCCTGTTCTCCATGTCAGCCCTGCCGATCCAGAGATGGTTCACGTGACGTATGCCGGTCCAGAGTCTGTTCACGTCACTTCTGCCGATCCAGAGTCTGTTCACGTCACTTCTGCCGATCGAGAGACTGTTCACGTCACTTCTGCCGATCCAGAGACTGTTCACGTCACTTCTGCCGATCCAGAGACTGTTCACGTCACTTCTGCCGATCCAGAGTCTGTTCACGTCACTTCTGCCGATCCAGAGACTGTTCAAGTCACTTCTGCCGATCCAGAGACTGTTCACGTCACTTCTGCCGATCGAGAGACTGTTCACGTCACTTCTGCCGATTGAGAGACTGTTCACGTCACTTCTGCCGATCGAGAGACTGTTCACGTCACTTCT